GTGGAACATGATTCTCTTAGCAAAGTGCTATAGTGAGGTAAACAAAGACGAGTAAGACACTCCCTGGTCTCAAGGAGCTCTCAGTCTAGTGACAGACAGCTGTGGGCAGAGAAAACCACTGCCCCGTACTGTCTACCATGAGGAGAAGACCAGAGTGCTTAAGAGCTAAGAGGAGGGTGACTCACCTACAGGCAAAAGATCAGGAAATGCTTCCTGAAAGAAGGGATCCTTGAGCTAAGTCATGAGTAATGAATAGACATTTGCCAGACAGACAAGGGAGAGAGGAACATTCCAGGCAGAAGGCACAGCCCACATCCATGTGTGAAGGCCTAAAAGAGGAGCAGGATAGGTTTGGAAAACAAGGAGGGAGTTTGCTAAAGGTGGAGCTTAAGGTCCACGGAGGAAGAGATCAGAAAGGATCTTTTAAGTCAGGTAGAGTCTGACCTTGGACGTGATGTGGTTTTGAGTAGCGTTGGGGTCCAGAGCCGATGGCCAAGACAGAAATCTTGAGCCATCTTTGGTGAAAAAAGATGATTTTATTAAAGAGTGGGGACAGGATCCATGGGCAGAAAGCTGCTTTGCAAGTGTGAGGGGTGACCGATCATATACTTGAGAGTTGGGGGAGGTAAGGAAAAAGGGAAGTTTCCAAAAGGACTTTCTATCTCAAGTGTTGGTCAATGGGCTGCAGGTCATAAAGAAATGTAATTTTGTTTACATTCTCCTCTGCCTTTGTTTCCCACATCACTCGTGGAGGGGAGGGTGATGTTAGGGCTCCAGCAAATTAAGTTCTGGGTCTCTGAAAGTAAGGCTATCCATAAGAATGCTTTTTTTTCCTTGCGGCACCTGGGTGGCTCAGTTGGTTGAGCGACTGCCTTCGGCTCAGGTCATGATCTTGGAGTCCCGAGTCCCACATTGGGCTCCCTGCTCAGCAGGGAGTCTGCTTCTCCTTCTGAACCTCCCCTCTCTCATGCTCTCTCTCTCTCTCTCTCTCTCAAATAAATAAATAAAATCCTAAAAAAAAGAATGCTTTTTCCTTGTATATCACTAAGGCAGCAAATTAATGGAGACTTGTCCTGTGGGACTGTGATCTTTATCAGTTAACCATTTGTTTTCCTTTCCCTTAGTTTTAGGGCAGCCAGAAGTGCCCGAGGAATGTCGTAGATATCCCACCCGGAAGTGGGGGTGGTTGCGGGATGTCAACTTGTGCTTTGCCCTCCACTTGCCTTTTGCTGCCTCGTCAAAGGGAATGTCTCCCTCAGGGCCAAAGCTATTCCCTCCATTCTTACCAAATCATGATTTAGTTATCTGTTTACAGGTCTCTTTCTTTGAACTATGGGCCTCTTAAGGGCTCAAACCCTGTTTCTTGTCCTTTGAATTCACAGTGCTTAACGTCCCTGGTAGCACACAAGGAATGTGGAAAGAGGGAAGGAAGGGGCTTCCGCAAGGTCACATAGCCACTCAGTAGCAGAGGTGGGACTCAACTCCCAGTCTCCAGAGAATTTTTTAAGTACTGAACCACATTCCTAACATTTGGATATGGAAGTAGGAATTGAAATCTTTCATTTAATGCAATCTTCATTGTATTGGAGTTTTTTCTTTCACAGCTTAATAAACTTCTGGCCACTAGTTAGACAAATTCAGATCTCAGAAATACTCTGTGAAGGGGCGCCTGGCTGGCTCAGTTGGTAGAGGTCGTGAGTTCGAGCCCGATGTTGGTCATAGAGGTTACTTAAAAAAACAAACAAACAAAAAAAACTCGGTGAAGATAGTTTGAATGCTAAGGATAAAGTAATGATTCCACAAATAATTTTTGGCAAGCTACAGCCTGCTCTTAGCTTTACCCTCTATACAAGTTGATCTCATTTAGTGCTGTTGCTGGCATTTCAGGTACAAATATCTGGAGAGTATTACTCGCTCAGGACAATACAGCAACTGATCCTCTGAAGCAGACTAAAGAAGGTCTAAGCTCCCAAGCACATCAATTCAGTCAGGCAGGAAAAGGTCCACTTTAACATTTCTCTCAGGAATCACACAATTGGTTTTCCAAGATAACAAATCTGTGTTAAGATCCAAACATGACAAATGAACATCCATCATGTCTATCAGGGAGTCACATCACAGAATGCTTGTAAAGTCGTCTCATTTCTGCAGTCATGTACAGATTACTTAAACTGCTTTCTGCTATTCTCCTGGATTCTAGTTTCTCCTCATCCCAACTCACTCTGTAGGCTGTTGCTTGGTTAAGCGTCTTAGCTTGTATGACCCTGGGCAAGTCACCTAACTTCTCATGTCTCGGTTTCTTTATCTGCTCAATCAGGGGGCCGTGCCAGATTAGTGTTTTTTCTACTGTGTTATTTGGAGCCCCTCGGGTCCCTCAGAGATACCTTGGTGCCACCGAGCAGGTTGGGGGAAAGGTGGGCCAGAGGCTGAGTTGGAAGGCCTCTGCATAGCCACCTCAAAAAGCAGCAGCTGTTTTAGAAATTATGGGCCTGTCTCAAATCTGGTTTGGAAAACGAGTTCCGCCATTACAAAAAGTTTAAGTACCATTATGTTTACATGATTTCCAAGGGCCCTTCTGGCTTCCCTAAACTAGGATTTTTTAATGTGAGAAAGTGTTTACACATAGAAATGCAGAAAGCAACTCATTATTACTTTTCTTCTAACCACTTTTTAAGCTGCTATCATCTCAAAGTAGGATGTGACGCAATACTTAACATGACAATTTGAATATGTACTCTGAAGGCAGTTGGCAACTCCCATAAAGGCTGTCATTTTGAAAGCCATAGAAAAAGGGCATACAAAGTTTAGGAGCAAATTCAAATTCTGAGACTATATTCCTTTACGCAACAGCAAATACACAGAAACAGATTATCTGTAGTCTCACAATTTTTTAAAAGATTTTACTTATTTGAGAGAGTGTGAGTGAGTGAGAGAGAGAGAGAGAGAAGGAGCGGGGGAGGAGCAGAGGGGAGAGGGAGAAGCAGACGCCCCACTGAGCCGGGAGCCAGACGTGGGGCTCGATCCTGGGACTCCAGGACTCACGACCCACCCGAGCCTAAGGCAGACGCTTAACCAACTGAGCCACCCAGGCGCCCCTCGTCTCACAATTACTGAGTTTCCAAGTCTCCCGACAAGTACTTCTTTGTATTCCTGGCCGAGGTTGACCCTGAAAGTTCAGTTTACTAGAGTAATTAGAGGTGCCAGACAAACCAAATAGGTAATTCGCCAGAGCCACCTTTCTTCCTCAGCTTCTAAAGCTGGGGACTTGCCAGGCGAGGTTTATTAGAATCACCTGGGAAGCTTTTCCAACCTACACTTAACGCCCTACTCTCCTCTCCCTCCAGCAAAGCACTGTTTTAGTTTGGGGCTTCATTGCGTCCCACTTAAAAGGTCCTCTCCATCTTTTTAAATCCTACTCCATCTAAGATTGACAGGTTAAAAACAATTGAACTTAGGGGCGCCTGGGTGGCTCAGTTGGTTAAGCGACTGCCTTCGGCTCAGGTCATGACCTCAGGGTCCTGGGATCGAGCCCCACATCGGGCTCCCTGCTCGGCGGGAGGCCTGCTTCTCCCTCTCCCACTCCCCCTGCTTGTGTTCCCTCTCTCGCTGTGTCTCTCTCTGTCAAATAAATAAATAAAATCTTTAAAAAAAAAAAAAAAAAAAAAATAAATAAAAACAATTGAACTTAGAAGCCACTGGCTTTGTCACAACTGGTTGAGCAAGTCACTTAACCTTTCTGGTCTCAGTTTTTTTCCTCTGCTTTTTGCGGTCCCCTTCCAGCTTTGAAATTCTGACCGCATATCATGTCTAGGAAGCTTTCTGAAGTAAGTACTCTTTAGCATGGAATGACTTCTCATTGCTTAGTTTTCCAACAGCCTATGCAATACAACAGATCCCTTAGTTCTATACTGTCCTATATTGCCCTCTAGTTGTTTTTACATGAATTTTTTTTCTTCTCAACTATAGTTAAAGTATATTTAGTTTAAAAGTTGATTTTCCAGTTTAGGCAGTGTGCATTCTGCTCTACATAAATCCCCTAGGACAACTTGGGGTGTGTCTGAAGTTAATCAGTATATATTTCTGTTCATTCGTTCAAAGCAATGACACCCCATCTGTCAAAGTCTTGGAATTATATTTTTACATCGGCGCTGCCCAGTAGAAAGATAACGTGAACCGAATATGTAATTTTAGGTTTTCTAGGGCGCACGTTAAAAAAAAGTGAAGACACAAGTGAAATTAATTGTAATGATATCTTTAACCCAACATATATAAAATATTAGCACTTTAACACATTAGTGTAAAAATTTAGGTATTTTATATTTTTTTCGTCATGTGTTCGAAATTGGGTGTGTATTTTACATTTACAGCACATCTCACCTCAAAATAGCCACATTCAGGGGTTCAAATAGCCCCATGTGGCTAGAGGCTACCCTACTGACCAGCGCAGTTCCGCACCTTTGGGCTGCTTCCCAACTGATCACTTATCTTTCCATTCTTAGGACACCCAACACTAGGTAAGACCCAGGCACTGGGTTAGCTGGAGGGGTGTAAAAATTAATCAGACTCGTTCAGGTTAAGGGAGATAGCTTGGTAGATCACTAGCTGTGATAGTACACTGTCATAGGTGCTCTGACAGAGAGCCACAAAAAGTGAATATTTTCAGTGGCTTGGCGGGGGAGGGGGCTCAAGGAAGGTTTCACAAAGTAACTTTGGAGAGGACGTTGGCTGTGGAGTGACTAGAATTGCAGGTTACGTGTGTGTGTGTGTGTGTGTGTGTGTGTGT